TGTTCACCTGCAATGAAAAAAATTCCTATACATAAGAATGAGGAAACAGGAAAATAAGACCCATAACCAGGGAAAGAAGTCAACAGAAACAGAACCAGAAATGACAAAAATAATAGAAATAAAAGACAAGGACTTTAACATAGTTATTATAAATATGCCCAAAACTTTAAAGGAAAACATGAATGTAGTGAGGAAATAAATGGAAGCTATAAAAAAGAATCAACTGGAACGTCTAGGGCTAAAAATGATAAGATCTGGAATTAAAAATACCATGGCTAGATTTAACAGCAGATTAGACATGTAGAAAAAAAGATCAATGGACTTGAAAACACAGTAATAGAAAATAAAATAAAACAAAATATGAAAATAAAATAAACAGAGAAACAAGCCTGGAAAAAAAATGACTAGAACTTCCATGATTCCAGGGAAAATGTTAAGTGTTCTAATATAGAATCCCAGAAAAGGAGGTTCACAACAAATATTTGAAGAATAATGCCTAAAACTCATCCAGATTTGATGAAAACTATAAATCCACAGATTCATCACATCATAATCAATTACTGAAAATGTAATAATAAGAACATCTTAAAGGAAAGTGGGCATGGAGAAGATGCATTAAATACAAAAGAATAAAGATAAGAATTACTATTGACTTCTCGTCAGAAACCATAAAAGTTATCTTTAAAATGCCAAAAACAAATAAATAAACAAACTCGTCAACCTAGAACCTATATTTAATGAAAATATCCTTTAAAAACTAAGCAAAGTAAAAATATTTTCTGACAAACAAAATCCAAAAGAATTTGTCACAGGGAGATCTGCCTGTGCCATCAGAAATTGCAAAGAGTGTTTTTTATGATGAAGGAAATGGAAAACACATGGAAACTCTGACCTACTCAAAGAAATGAAGAGCACTGGAAGTGGTAGATATCTGGGTAAATATAAAAATATTTTTTCTTGTTTAAAATTTTTTTAAATGATTGAAAAATTAAAAATGGTGTACTTTGAGTTTATAACAAATGTAGCAGTAAAGTGAATGACAACAATAGCATAATGGATGGAAGGGACATGTGGAATTATATTATTTAATTTAAAGTTCTCATACTATACTTGAAGTCATATAATATTGTTTGAAGCTAGACTGTGATTAGTTAAGTTGTATAAACCCTAGAGCAATCACTAAAAAAGAGAGATATGTCAGTTAATAGAAGACACAAAATAGAAAGCTAGAAAATATTCAATCAAAAGGAAAAGAGAAAAAAACAACAAAGAACAGATGAGAAAAATAGAAAAGAAATAGTAAGCTATACCAATAATAAAGTTAAACAAATTTTCTAAACATTCCAATCAAAAGCCTGAGATTGTCAAAGTGTATATAAGAAAAAAATCAAGACCAAATATATGTTACTTAGAAGAAAAGCACTGTAAGTATAAGGATAGATAAGTTAAAAGTAAAAAAATGTACCCCAAAAATCCTAATCAAGAGAGAGCTGGAGTAACTATATTAGTATTACACAGAGGGGCCTGTAAGACAAGGAATATAACTGGAGGTAAGAAGAGACATTTCATAATTATAAAAGAGTCAATTCACCTAGAAGACAAAACAAACCGAACGTGTATGTACCTAATAACAGAGCTTTAATATATAGTAAGCAAAACTGGCAGAACTAAAAGCAGAAATAGACAAATACAATTATAGTTGGAGATTTCAACACTTCTTAGTAATTGACAGAACAAGTAGAGAGGAAATCAGTAAGGATATGGGAGCCTTGAACGTTACCATCAACCTACTTGACTTACTTCCCATTTATAAAAGACTACACCAACAGTGACAGAATACATATTTCTTTCAAGTGCATGCAGAACATCCATGAAGTTAGGCAGATACTGGGTCATAAAACAAGTGTTAGTAAACTTTGAGAGACTGAAATCATACAGAGTATATGATCATAACAGAACTAAATTAGAAATCAATTACAGAAAGATATCTGGAAAATATGAAAATATATGGAAATTAAACAATATACTTCTGAATAATCCATGAGACAAAGAGGAAATCTCAAAGGAAAGCAGAATTCTTTTTCAGTTTAATGACAATGAAAATATAAATAAAAATTTGTGAGATGCAGCTAAAACAGTGCTTGAGGGAAATTTATAGCACTAAATTCTTGTGCTAGAAAAAAATACAGCTATAAATCAATAATATGTTTCACTTTAAGAAATGAAACAAAGAAGTGAAAATGAAACCCACAGCATTTTGCATACAATTTCAGGCGATCCTAGAACCTTTGAAACTCCTTATGAACTTCAGGTTAAAAATCCCTGATCCTTAATGATTAATCTTAATTTTGGATCCAATCCTAGCCTTCTTTCTTGAGCCCCAGAATTTCATGTATAACTGCTTTCAGGACGTCTACAGTTAAGTAGTTCACAGCACCTGAAAATCAAAACTTACAAAAGGTGGTGCATTAACTCCTCCTCCCTCCCCCTTTCTTCCTTCCCTCTCTCTCTTTCCTTTCCCTGTCTCTCCTCTTCCATTTTCCTTTTCTAAACCTAAACCAATGAGCAGTGCCACCATCCACTCAGCTGCTCGTATATCAAAATCTTGGATATCTTTCCTCTCCCTCACTCATACATATAATCAATCACTAAATCCTGCTTATTCCAACACCCAAAACTTTCTTACATCCATCCATTTTTCTCCATTCCTCTTGAAACTGTTCTGGAGTAGGTTATCAACATTTCCCAGGTAGATTATGTAATAACTTCTTAACTTGTCTCCAAAGTCTGTCCTACATATTCACTTTCCCTAGGTAGTCAGTGTGATATTTCAAAAAGGCTAATGTGATCTTGTCACACTCCTGTTTATAAACTTTCTCTAGCTTTGCTGTGACCTTGGGGTTAACTCCAGTGCCTTTGACATGGCTTATAAAACCTTTCATGATTGGAACCCTGTTTATCTCATGGACCTTTCTCTCTCCTTATGTTCTGCTCCTAATTTTATGTTCCACCTATAATGAACTTCTTCCTCTTTCTCTTGGTTTCATGCTTTCTCTTTCTTCCAAGCCTTCACAGATGCTATTCATTTTGTCTGGAATATTTTTCTAATCCTTTTCCCTTGGCACCCTCATGCTTTATGCCCCCCCACATTTTATTGGATCATTCCTATTCATCCTTTGGATCTTGTTTAGCTGCTATTTCTCGGTCCAGGACTTCCCAGATCTTCCTTCTGCTACTTGCCTGTCTTCAACTTTAATGGATTAGTGTTCCTGCTAAGAATCTCATTACGTCTTATCATTCTGAATTGTAATTTCTTACTTCCGTATCTTCCCTTCTAGACTGTACTATAATATTTATCCTTGAGAATAAAATGATGGTGCCTTCTTTCTGATAACCTGTGGCAATGTAAGAAGGATTCAGGAATTCTTAATTACCTGGGAAAATATATGACAAAAATAATGTAAATATACAGTAAGACCTGGTAGATAGTCAATAAATATTTGTGTAACTAATAGACTTTGTGATTATATATTATCGTATGTCACTATCATAACCTATGCTCTTATAGATTTTTTCTCTATTCTACTGACAAGGAAAATATAACTGTTTTGTTAATAAGTGCTGGTGATGTGTTGAATAGATTATGAAGAAAAATTAAATGTTACAGTTTTTCAATTTTCTATGTATTTTATTATATTTTTCTTTCACAGAGAGGAATTCTGAGCATAGAATTATGGATATTTGCTTGAGAATCTATGATGTAAAGATCTCAGCATCCCAACTGAATGCAAAATTGATGGGCTTTCCACTGTGCTAAGTCATCTTGCCTGCTTTTCATTTTTGTATTATTAAGTTGTAATTGCCCATTCTCTCCTGCCCCTTTACTATGAACATTCAAGTAGTTAGTACTAAAATTATACCATGCCATCACCAAAATCCAGCACCAGAGCCTTATTAGACTAATAACAGATCCGTTAGAGATTAGAAGGGGTCAGTATGCCCTTTTGGCGTGGTTCTCGCACACTGTACTCTACTTTGGTGGAAAAACAAAATCATTAAAATAACATTATGCATGCATAGTCATTAAACCATGTTATAAACATTTGGCTCATTTAACTACGTCTGGGGTTGGGTGTATTTGTCAAGTCATGCTGATAAAAGTCGCAAAGAATTTTGGAATATTTAAAAATAATCTATAGTCATGTGCTCATAATATTGATTTTCTTTATCATATACTAGGAAGGAAATCAACAGTAAAGTAAATGTGGTCAAGCAGAGCTGAGCTATACTTCTGTCAGCCCTAAACACAAATATAAAACATTTAGAAGTGTTCTGCTCTTCCATAACCTTTGAGCTATAAGGAGGAAAAGAAATATCAATCACATGGAAAACAACTTGGATCCAGGCATAGTGATGTTTTACAAGTATTTAATGTCCTATAACTGTATTTATTCTAATAAGAGATTATTACCAACAGATTAAAGCTTTTATTTTAACAGATTTGAGTATTTTAATCTGATGTTGACTTTTTTTGTTGTTCCTTTTTGCTCATCCCAGTCAATGATCATTTTATTAATGTTATTGAGTCATTCATTTATTCATCAAACTTTTATTCATTTAGCATATGTCAGGGACTGTGCTGTTGAGGCTCCAGAGACGAATAACACACAATGTATGACACTAAAGGGTAGAGCTATGGGTAGAGGCTGTGGATACTCTCTGCACCTATGTGTATCTATGAGGCTTCCTTCCCTCTGAGGAACCTTGGGTCATGCTCCCTGGCCTCCATTGGAGGAGGGCCTTTGTCTTCTCTTTTGTGTCTCTCTCTGGAGCCCTGTGGACGTGGTTGGGGAATGCCAAGGCAACTCTGGCTGCTCCAATTTGTATGCTTTCCCTTTAAAATATTCTGAGGACTCCATGTGTCACTCTGGATTATCATTTGTCCTCAAATGAATATGCTAATAACATTTAGGTTTCTATTGATCTTTTACTTAATTTAGAAAGAAGCTTCACTGATGCATTACATTCGTTGCTATGCAATGTCAAGGAATACTATCATTATGATTAGTACCATCTGCAACAAATGAGAGGAAGCAACACACAACAGAGCTGAAGATTCAGAGCCTCTCTCCCAGCTGACTTGGGTGTGTACTAGTACACTGCCTCTAGATTTTTACAACCGCATGCATACAATCCACAGGGTAGGTAGATTTCTCTGGCCTTTTAAGATTTTGTTTTGTTTTGTGACTTAAAAGTTTTTTTTTCCTTTTTCCTTCTGGGAATAGAAATATGTTTATTTCCATTTTACAGGCAAACCACTTCAATAGAACATGGCTGGCAGCCATATGGTCACATATGAATCCAACAGTTAATTTAGCAAAGAAAACTGCTTGTAACAAGTTTTGAATATGTTATCCCAGGTAGTACTTTGTTGACAAATGAGATGATTGCCCAGAAAATGATAGTAACATTTGTAAAAAGGTATGTACCCTTTAGCCATTTAATGATAGTCAAATTATTAGCCACCATCTATTTGAAGTGCAGTCTGTGGCACTTGTAGGAGGTACTTAACACTTTTTATATACAATTTTATAGCAAAAATATGGTGTTAATTTTCAAGCAGCTTACAATCTAGTAAACTTTTGAATGAGTGCTTGTATTACCCTTATCTGGAACTTCTAGGTCTAGACTTTTGGCTGGCATGGCTTCCAGAACTGGCTGTATGACTGTATTTTAGAACCAGTGTTTTTAGCCAAAACTAATAAATGTGGAGTGGCTCAAGGATGGAAAAACAAAACAAAACAAAACTCTAACTAAACACATTAGAATTTCATAAAGGGTTATTAGGCATTTTGGGGAAACAACTCATACCAGTTTTTGTTTTATCTCACAGATTGTCACCTCCCCGGATGGTTCCTTCAGCTCTAACATTTGTAGGATCAAAGCTGTAACCATCCAGTCATCACTCTTCACATGCAGAGCACACACATGGTGTGTGGTTAGGATTCTGTCCCTTTATAATTCTTTGGCATCAGGCGTGGATACAAGGGAAAGCAAAAGTATCTGGGTGTTTTGTGAATTTTGTTTATATTTTACTGAAGATAGTTGTTTAAACTCTGGGGAAATTAAATCTTCTACAGCCATTCATAGACGTGAGAAGTGCACAGTTTTAGTTAAATGAACACTATGGTAAAGATTTCCTCAGAAGAAATCCATAACAGTTTTAGTCTAATTTTATCAGTTATTTTTTCAGTAATGGTACGACTTAAACATTTGGATATTTATTACATGTACCACAAAAATAAAATTTGTTGAATTTCTGAACTGAACTTGTGGTCAGTGCCAAAATTATAACACAACATTAGTAAGATATTAAAAATATGATGACAGTGGAAGAACTATCCACAATATACCAACAGGTCTGACTTCCGGAAGGAGATATAAACACTTCCTCAAAATATTTTAAAAGCAGAGATAAAAGGGAGTCCCCACCCTCCCCTTCATTAAATGAAAATGGATTAACAAATAAGATTCTTAAAAATCACTAAAATGTATATAGAATGCCACTACGTGCTTCCATATATGAAGCATGACAGCCAAGCGCAACTAGTAAAGTTGTAAATCACCAAGTCAAAGAGCAAAGAGCTGAAATGTGTCTCAGTGTCGTTTCTTTCTGAGAGATCTTTCATATGCACATTGGAACGCTCATGGGGACAGTGCTGCAAAAGGGTTAATAATGAGACTACCGTTCCTCCAAAGCTGTTCTCCATGAATCTCTTGACTTTCAAACAGTTTGGCATGGTGTGACTCTTTCAATATGTAGAAGTCATGACATGATCCAGGAAGTTTACCAAAACGTTTGTACTGTTTTATTTAGCCTGGCATCCAGTATTTTAGGGCATTTACAAAACAGTGTGAATGAGAGAATACCAAAAATGAACTATTTACATCAAAAGAGAGAAATTTAGGGAAATTTTAGAAAAGAATTAAAAGATGAAGTAAATATTAATTTCTCTGCAAAAATCTGTTTTACACTAGTTATTTCATCTAACTTTGATTTTGAATTCAGATTCAGGGGCAAATAGTCAGAGTTTATATTTCAAAACATAATTACTTTTTATGGCTACAGGAGAGTGAGCATTGTAATGGGAAGAATTTCTGATATGGAAGAAAATCACCCACCATTGTATAGTCTTATTTGGTTTTAAGAGATACCCAAATCTAGGCTCTGTTCTTGACTTATATTTGGTTTAAACTCTTTAAGTCTTTTCTGGCTATTTATCTTCATGTACAAAATAGAAAAAATAATAATTACAACCTGCCTTTCGGGGGTCTGGTAAAAATCAATAAAATGAAAATAGAAAAATCAATCTTGGTTAGTAATTCTTTTGAGAAGCTGGATAGAACAAAATGTGATACCAACACTGTGTCTAATTGCAGCCCCAATTCTTCGGAAGGCAGTAGCTAATTTTCAGTGAGCCTTCTGGACTTACCACATCTACTAGGAATTCATATTGAAATGGATTAGAAGTCTAAACTTTAAAAGAATGGAGAAACATTATCCTTCACATGCCGTTGGAGTGATCTATCTAAAAAGCAAAATTTACTTTACTTCAGTGTTAAAAATTCCTCAATGATTTCATCATATTCAAGACAAACATATCATACACGCTTTTGCATGATGCAACTTTGATTATCCTTTTTTGGCTTAGACTACCATCATCCCAATGCGTACCCTGTACTTCACTTGTAAGCTTCATAGAGTTCCCTGAATGCACTAAGCTCTCCCAAGCTTTCTTGCCTCATATATGTTGTTTCCTCTGCATGACATGCCATATTCTCACTATCTTCCATCATTCCACCAGCAACCTAGTGAATTTCTTTTCACTCCTCAAAACTCAGCTTATATCACCTCCTCCATGTACCTTTTCCTGACATTCCAGTTGCCTGAAAGAATGCTATATTTGTTTTATGTCTGTCTCCTGAACACATCATGGGATCCTGAGTTGTAGTTCCCTATTCTATGTACCTTTGTATTTCCAGAGCCTAGCTCAGTGTTGGTGATTGAACAAATAAATAAATGGATGAACCTCTGGTATGAATTATGCAGTGTCTCTCTGGAAGCATCTGGAGTTAAGTACTAATAATAAATTAAACCACTCCACCCATCTAGGGTTTGGAACCAATTGAGAGATGCAGCCAAGAATCAAGCACTTGAAGATCAAAGTGATGGCTTTGTAACTGACAAAGCCTGGGTTGGAGAACACAGCTTAGGTATGTGGCAATAGTGGGTTTCCTAAGAGAACCCGAGAATTAGACACAATACTTTCTCAGTGAAGGCAGTTCTGGAAAACCACAGGCCACCTTCATGTTTAGGTACAGACTCTTAACCACTAAGTTTATGGCATGGCCAAGAATAGACCAGAACACATGCGTATGATCAAGTCCCAAAGAGGAAGAGGGAAAGAGCTGATCCAAGCCTCCCTACTTTTTATCCCAAATCCATCAATCAGTTAAATCAAACTTTCTCCTTGGGAAAGAATTTTTGCAGGGGCAGAGAGGCCAGAAGCATTACTTGAATGGATGTCTTTCTACATGAGAAAATGAAATCAGGGGAAAGTTAGCTCCCCTTATTTACCTTCTTATAGAACTACAAACGGTTGCCTTTCCACATGTCCTTTCTCTGTCAATGGCATTACTCTTCCTCCAGCTATCCAAGTATAATCAGAGACACACTATTCTGGTTTATAACTCATTTCCCTCAAAGAACAATTGGCAATGGTCCTCCAGCCTGTGGTCTCAGGTCTATAACTAATTGTTGATATTTTTAAATTTTTTTAAATATAAAAGTAATACCTGATTATTTTGAAAATTACAATTGATTCAGATATATAAAAATAAGCCTCCCTAAAAATATCCTTGTCTTCCAGCATTTTTCACTGTCTGGAGATAACTATCGTTCATGTATCTATTCCAGACTTATTTTTTAGGCATTTATACATGTTTAGACATAAAGATTTTTAAGGAACACAAATACTTAATAAAAACTGATAGACATTTTCCTATGTCATATTTTACGTGTTTACCTAACTCTTTTTAACACTCCATAGAATGAATGATTTGTAATTTCTTTCAGCATTCCCCTATTTCTTTCAGCATTCCCCTACATTTAGGTTGTTTCCAATGTCTTACTACTACAAAGAATAAAAATTCTATATACCTATCTCTCTTACTATTTTTGCAAGAGAGATTCCTGTAAGTAAAACTGTTGAGTCAAGTAACTTGTACCTTATAATTTTGATAGATTTTCCTACATAGTGCTTTAAAAAAGCCTATGCTAACAATAAATCAAGTTTCCATTTCCCAAACCTTACGGACCCTGGATATTATAAATCTTTCAAGTTCTTACTAATTGAGTGAGCAAAACACATATTATTGTTTTAATTCCATTTTTTTTATTACTTATGATATTGAACATGCTTTTGCATGGTTATTAGTCTTTGGCACTTCCTCTTCTGCCAGTTCATAATTTTTGCCCATTTTTATTTGATAATTTAACTTTTACATATGTTTTGAATTTTAATTCTGTATCTGCTAAGTATGTTGCAAATATTTTCTCACAGAAGTGGCTTTCTTTTCACTTTGTTGAACAGTTAAACTTTACTCACAGATTTTGCTGCCAATATTTTCATAGACTAAATTCCCATATAAGCATCACTCTCTTTTAGGGTTTCTATTCTGCTCCATTGATCTATTTATCTACTCTTCATACTACTTTAATCCTATAATAGCAGTCTTTAATAACAATAATTGCTAATATTTTTTGAACCTCTAATATGTGCCTGTCACCATTCTATTAATTTCACAACTATTTTATGCAGTAATCAACATTATTATCACCATTTTACATACTAGGAAACTGCTTTCCAAAGAGCTTAAGTAACTTGCTCAGGGTTACTGAGCTGGTAAACTGCTGAGCTGGGATGGAACCCCAATATTCTGATCCAAGGTGGTTGCTGTTAAGAACTATATCATGAGCATTTTCCACAGGTTTATAGAACGCTTTGACATTTGGTATAGCAAGTTGTCCCTCAAAGCTGCTTTATTTCACAATTTTCTTACACATTTATAAGTAAATTTTATAAGCATCTCACCATGTTTCAGAAAAAGTTCTGTTCAATGATAATTGTTTTGAAATTTTAGATTATTTTGAGAAAGAAACATCATTGTTATGGGCTGAGTTATGCTCCCCTCAAACGTCCCCAAATTCGAATGTTAAAGTCCTAACTCCTAGTATCTCATATTGTGATTGTATTTGGAGCTAGTTTCTTTAAAGAGATAATTAAGTTACAATGAGATCATTGTGGGGGGGCACTAATCCAATATGACTGGTGGTGTCATAAGAAGAGGAAATTTGGAACAGATTCAGAGGGAAGACCACATGAAGACATAGGGAAAGATAGCCATCTAAGGAGAGAGGCTCAGAAGAAACTAACCTTGCTGAAACCTCGATCTTGGACTTCTAGCCTGCATTACTGTAAGAAAATACATTTCTGTTTAAATGACCCATCTGCAGTACTTTGTTATGGCGGCCCTAGTAAACTAATACAGTCATTGTCATAATTTACTGTCTTCTCACCTACGAAAATGTTATGACTTGTAGTTTATTTCTTTAGGTTCTTCAGGTAGGTATAAGTGTTTTCTTCAAGTACACATTAATATTTCTTGTTAGTCTTGTCCCTATTCATTTTATTCTTTCTGTTACTTCTATGAATTGGATATTTTTTCTATTATATTTATAATTGGTATTAATTTTTATATATTTGTATTTTATCTGACTATCTTACCAGACTCTTATTAGTTTTAATAGTTTTGCAGTTGTCTTGGAGTTTTCAGGCAGGCAAATATATAACATGCAAATAAGGGCAATTTTGTTTTGTTTCTTTATTTCTAATATATACATTTCACTTTTCTTGTTTTATTGCGTTGGTTAGAAAATTTCAGAATAAGCTTGAATAATAGTGGTGATAATGAGCATCCTTGCCTAACTCCTGACTTTTTGTGTGTGTGGTCTTTTTTTGCTGAGGAAGATTCACCCTGAGGTAGCATCCACTGCCACACTTCCTCTTTTTGTATGTGAGCTGCCACCACAGTATGGCCACTGACAGACAAGCGGTGTAGACCCATGTCTGGGAACCAGACCTGGGCCACTGAAGTGGAGTGCACTGAACTTAACCACTAGGCCACTGGGGCTGGCCCCTAGCTTCTGACATTATTTGTCAATCTTTAAGTATGATATTTATCATAGGGTTTTATATAATTTTCAAGTTATTACAAATTTTCTAGGAGTCCTTTATTCTCTCTCTTTATCAGCATAATGAATTATAGGAATTGCTTTACCAGGAGCTTTCAAAATAATCCTATAGGTTTTCTGTTTTCGTATGTTAAATATAGTGAATTGCAAGGATAGATTTCTAAATTTAAACCATCTTTAGATTCTAAGAATAAGCCTGTTTGTTTATTGTGCATACTTCTTATAATTCACTGCTGGGTTTGAATTACTAATATTTTATTCATGAATTTTTCAGCAAGTGCATGAGTGGGGTAAACTTTCCAAGTCATTGCATGACTGAAGATTAATTTTGCCTATACATTTGAATAATAATTTAGTTTGGATTAGAATTCTAGGTTCAAAATAATTTTGAAGACATTGGTCCATTATATTCTGGGATCCAGTCTTGTAGCTGAGAAATTAGAGGCCAGTTTAATCCTCTCAGGTCAGAACTATTAAGAAAAGGCTCATGATTTGATGTGAATCACAGCAAAAATGGATTAGAGTGGAAGTTTTTGGATTCTATATGAACTATTTTGTTATGCCTCGCTTTTACATGTTTATACTCTATAGTTTTCACTATAATACATCCCTGCTAGGTAGGATGAAGTAGGAAAATTAACATGTTTCATCTTTTCATTCCATCAGCATAATCTAATGAAAGAGGACTACACTTAGAAGTTAAGAATAAGTAATTCTTACTAGTGAATAGGAAGCAGGTTAAAGGTTATTCCACTTTGTCAATGCAGAAGTGAGACCAGAACCCAGGTCTCTTAATTATGAGATGTATGAGATTCTTGTTAGGAAAGGGTTTGCTGAAGCAAGAAAAAACTTGAACTTTTGCTCAAATGATAAAGGAGCCTTGGCGACTGCCAACCATCTGGGGGCAGAGCCACCCTGAAATGCAGAGGTCCATTGGCATTTGCTTGTTCTGACTCTTGCTCTGTTAGACTTGGAACTTTCAGCCATTAAAAATATTAACCCCCCTTTTTACTCATTATCTACACATGTTTGAACAATATTTGTATATAGACAACTCTGGAACCTCTATTAGTTTCTAAGGATATTTAAAGTACTAATTTACACTCAAAACTCAATTTTTCCATATTTATTTTATCAATCTGGGAGTTATCTGTCAGGTATACATTTACTAAATTTGAGACTGAGAGTATGCCCAAAGAGAACTTTTGTTGGTGAATTAATTGCCTCCTGGATTTGTCAAATAAAGCATGAGCCTGATGGTTATGCTACAACTTGCCCTGCAGGTCTTCATGAAAAAGAAATGTACTGATTTAAATAAATAATGCCTGTTTAATTAAATTAGTCATTTCAAAACCATATCCCTAATTTGCTGTCTGGTTTTAGCTGTTATTTTGTTAAAAAATCTTGCTTTTCCACTTGAGAGCCTTGCACGTAAGAAACAATTCCAAATAAGATAGAGAACATTCATCATTAGTTTCTTAAGAAAGTTAAAGTGACTACCCTAAATGATAGAAATGCATACTTATAGAGGAAAAGATCTTGCTTTAACACTTTAGTATAATTAGTAACAGAATGTATAGCATCAGATAAAAATAAAGATGTAAAGTGGCATATGTTTTACTATGTATTAAATATATTTATTCAGTAATCTAGACCTCTATTCTGGTTGACTCACATGTATACTGGATGGGGTCCTTTAGGAATAAGATGAACTGCCATTTTTGATTTTTTTAAAACCAGTTTCCATTTGAAGAAGATATTTTTAGAATTCATTTAAGTAAATTACAGATCTGCTATTACTGGGCCATCAAATGCAATTTGGCACAGCATGATGTTTCAACAGTTGCTCGAAGTTAACAGTGACTATAGAACCCTGTGTGATCAGCTAAGGTTATTTTTAAACCTGATTCTAGATAACTCAGGGAAGAGCTGTTCTGTTTTCTACATGATAATTGCAGCAACATTTGTCATTGAAGACGTTGCATGCCAATATGTGGGATTCGTTGTAAACCCCTTTCACCATTAAACCACTGAAAACAGAACCTCAAAGCAAAGGGAGAGCCATGCTTTTTTAACTAGAAAGATGACACCTTATTCATTTAGGAATTCTCTGTTGCTTGGCATAATTTGTTTGCTTACTTGTTTGTGAAGGGAAACATCTTTGCATCCATGAAGCTTTGATGTAATTAACCACTTCCATCGCGTATGTTGGGTTCTGTCCTCGATGAAACCATGCTATGTGTGAGTTTCTGGGACATTCCTGGGAGAACTCTGTATTCATTTAACTTGATGACAAAACAGCAACATGCTAAATAATGTGATTAAAGTTGTTAAAAGCCAAAATAAACACTTATAATTATCTCAAGAAAAATGGTGTCAGGCAAGTGCGGTCTCTATAAAGTGGGACTCCGCGTGCGTCTTTCAGGTCCTGCTGCACAATAGATCATAGTTAAAGGTCTGTTAACAGACCTCTGACGGCTGAGCTGGGTAGCTTGTGGTTTCCTTCGAAATCTATTGGCATAATGTGAATTTATGTGTGAGGTGCAAATTGGAAGTTGCCTTCTATTGGTGCCCTTGGCAGAACAGAAATCATACTGTAGGGCTAGCAGCAGGAAGTACATTGCTTTGAAATTACCCAGCAGGGTTTCTGCTTGCTGCTCTTGTTGCTTCTGAGACGGGGGCCTTATATTGTCTGGCCATGATTAAAATCAAAGTGTAGGCTTCTTTGCTGGGTGCCAGTAAACTTAGGTGAAAAACAGAAACAATCTGGAGTTTTAATTATTTTAAAATGCAATGTAGGCAAGAAACAAAGATGAAAGCATTTTTGACTAATCTATCCCAATTATTTCACATAAACGGATTTGCTAAAAAAGAGACCCATAGAGAGAGAGAGAGATTGCCTTTACAAGGGACTTCGTAACATATCTTACAGCCATAAAATATATCTAAGCCATGTATGCCGTTCTTATGAAACTTATAGAGAAAAGTGTCCAAACATTATACTTTTGGGTGAGTAGGGAAAACCAGATGTGCCCTTACCTAATTCCAAATACAGGATGCTATGTATATATGAAGTCAGCTTACAAAGCATGGAATAGAATTTACAGGTTAATTACTTATTAACTTAAAATAGTCCATCTGTAAGGGAGTATCTCTGTGCTATGATTAAGACTGGTCTAATTCCACAGTAGGCTGGCCAGATAATTCCCATTATGTCTGTAGTTCCCAGAACTGGCAGGCTCTGGATTTCTTCTTTTCAGGTTCTTTTTCCATGAGGAGTATAAAAGCACAAGTCATAGGTTCAGACTTTGCTGTCTCTAATAATCCACTGGGAGAAAATTTAACTCAATTTTGAATAAAATATAGGGAATGCAAACTTGCTATCACATTGCACCAACCAGCTGTCAGATAAACAGTAGTAGAAATCAAGAGTTATGGTGTTGGTTCTTTGGAGAATGTGCTACCATACCCATGCATAAGTACTGGGAGTTCATGCATTAAGTTAACAAATATTTATTGAGTACCTGCTATGTGGTAGGAACTGCCATAAGGACTGGGGATATAGATTTTCAAGGGAAGCTAGAGAATTAAATAATTATTTACATCTGTTACTCTGAAAACTGACCGCCAAGCTAAGGAAGCACAGTGTGCCAAGGTGCTACATAGCAGGGACCCCCTAACCCACAGCTGGTACTTTACTACAAAGATGTGGATATTACGTTTCCACTACAATAGTCACATATTTTTTCAAGATACATAAGAAGAGGAAAAACATATCATTTTGATTGCAAGTTTAGAAATGGCTTTAGGAAAACCGGATATGAAGGTCCATGCCTTTCCTTTAAAAATTCCCCTCATCCAATTCCAATCTATCAGAATACTTCACATCATGTAGCCACAACAAAGAGCAGGTGTGTAGAACCCCTACAAATCCTCCAGCCCAAATGCTAAAGGCCTCTGTCTTATCTGATGACAGTGCTCAAGGTCAAGGCTCTTGAGCTATCAAACCTGCTCAGACAAGGGTGAAATGCAGATTTTATATCTTCTTCCACTTGAATTTCAATGCATGAAAGAGTGCAATCGTAATAAGATACAGTTATATTAAAGAGCATTCATGAGTATCTTTTGCACCTATCTAAATTTTGGACCTGGCAGTTATAACTTTGTTTTGTTTCGTTTGACAGATAAAGCACAGAAGATTCAAGCTGCCTCCGGTCTTAAGAAGTTAACATGGAATTTGGCTGTTTCAAAAATTAAAATCTGCTTACAAAAATTAGTCTCCACTGGTGGAAATATCTTTCTTTTCAGTATGAGAAGTTGTTTGAAGCTTTTGTCTCTCTCCAGTGCTCATCCTGATCAGATTTTAATACTGTTCTCAAACCAACCTTTAATTTAATAAGCATGGTAATTTTGTTGGGGAAAAATTTCCGTGACATGTGTTGAATCAAGTGTACGTATTCAGTATTCCATCCCAGCAGCACCACCTATTGTTGCTCTTGTACGAAACTTCCCAAGTATCTAACCTGTTTATTTCTCTGGGTGTCTCTGTGAGTTATCCAATATACTACACATTTTACAGGTTGTAGCGCTAAGCGTTAAGACTGTGGTGATATTCCTAGAGTTATAAATCTGTTCTGTAAATAAAGCGTATTTTTGTAGTACTTCAGACTTTCACTTTAATTCATGAAAAGAAACTGAATGAGAGACTATATACTTATAAAAATATTTATGGAAATTAAAATAAGATTTGGCAAATAAGACCCCAACTGGATCTGCATGTTTTGAAAGTTAGTACTATCATAGGTTCTTTACCAAATATAAGTGGCATTTTTTTCCAGTACGGTTTAAAAGCACCAGTAAAAAACAAATCTTATTTGCATTTACAGGTAGGAACGCAAACTCAGGAAACGTCAAGTGGAAAGTACTATGGAATTTTTCAGCATTATTCCCGGAAGAGAGAAAGATAAGATTGAACATTTTAGATAGTCTTTATTTGATATTTACATGCACATATATGAAAGTGAGTAATAAACTACATTTTCTGAAAGCCATGTTTATTTAAACCTGGTAAACCATAAAAAAGATTTTAGAAGGAAAATAATAAGTCACATACAAACTATTTTCATACATATTATACCACTTAATCTTCCCCATAGCTGTCTGGGGTAGGCGAGAAGGCTTTGAGTCCTTGGCCCTTTTCTTTGCTCACTATATATACCCTTTTTGAGATTTCATCCATTCCTATAGGTTCAATTACCATCTATACACTGATAATTTCAAAATTTGCATTTATGTCCTTTACATCTCTCACAACTTCTAGAAAAAATGTGTATATTTGGAAGTCCCACAAGTATCTAAAACTCAATACAAACTTACCATCTTTCTTGCCAAAGCTACTTGTCTTCCTGTATTCCTTATCATACTTAATGCCCTACCATCTATCTCATTGCTCAAGCCAGAAACCTGGAAGTTATCTTAGACTCCTCCTTTTTGCTCATCTTCTTCACTCAATCAGTCATGACAATTACATTTCCTCAGTCTTTCCGAATTCCATCTTATTTAGATTAGGCCCTTATTATTTCTCATCTGGCTCATTACAGTAAGTCTACTGCTTCTAATTTGACTTTCTCTGCTACCAGACAGATCTTCCTAAAATTCAGCACTTTTAATAAAAAGCCTCATGAATGGTTTCTTATTGATTTTAGGATGAATTCCAAGTTCTTTATACAAATAATTTGATGCCAGTTAAAATATATGACCCAGGGCCAGCCTGGTGGCATAGTGGTTAAGTTGGTATGCTGCACTCGGGTGTCCCAGGGTTCGTGGGTTCAGATTCTGGGAGCAGACCTACACACCACTCATCAAGCCATGCTGTGGTGGCATCCCACATACAAAAATAGAGGAAGATTGTCACGGATATTAGCTCAGCGACAGTCTCCCTTAAGCTAAAAGAGGAAGATTAGCAATGGATGTTAGCTCAGAGCCAATCTTCCTCACCAGAAGAAAAAAATATATATATATATGACCCATGATTAAGTTTCCAGTGTTTTGTGCTACCATTGTTTGATCAGACGTTTCTACCACACAAGATGTTCAATACTCACAACAGGCCAGCCCTAACGGTGGCTTCCTATTTGGAATTTCATTAATACCATTCATCACATTATTAGAACTAAGCATCAAAATCATATAATCACTTACATAGATGCTTAAATGACATCTAAAAACTTCAACACCCATTCATGTTAAAAAATGATATATTAGAAAAAGAAAGGTATTCTAATATGATAGTATGTATAGACCCACACCAAAGTGACCATCTTAACTAATAAAGAACATGCTCAGAAGCATTCTTACTGAAGTCAAGACCAAGAAAAGACACTGAGTATCTCAACTACTATTTAACTTTAAATTGCAAGTATCAGCCAATGTCATTAGATAAGAGAAACTGGAGGCATAAGAACTAGAAACGAGGAGGTTAAACAGTCTCTGTTACAGATCTCTATCACTAATTTGGAATGATAACCAGAATTTATTTTTAAATGAAACAAATAAGGTGTAGAACAACATGCAGAGTGACCTATTCTTTGTTTAAGAAAGGGTGAGGGAGTATTAAGACTATAAATCATTTTCTTCTATTTTCAAAAGAAGTAATGAAAAAATAAACCAAAAAGCCAATAAAAGTGGTTACCTATGGAGTGAGGGAAGAGAATAGGGTGGAAATGACTTCGGAGCTATGTAAATATTTTACAGAATTGAAGAATCAAAATGAAATCATAAGGGAGAAATAACCTGGAGTCTTAGAGAAGGAGTGCTGTGGAGTGGAGACGATTCTGAGGAGCAGGCACTGCTTGGCCGGGCTGTACCTCTGAGGGTGCAATGAGGCTGGGTCTGGGGATGCTGGAGAAAGAGCTGGAGACTGGATCAGATGCCAGGGTGAAGGGTTATTACTGAGGTGACAAATGGGAGACAGATGTAAAGAGGAACAAGTCTCTTCTCTGTTCTTTCTCTTCTTTCTTCTCTTTTTTCTCATCTTTCTCTCTCGCCCCCTATCGGTGGAATCGTAAGAAAGTCTGTGGCAAAGCAGAAATTTAATCTGCTGGGTCGCAGCCCCAGCATCACAAAACAGAAGAGAGGTTTTGGGGGTTAAGGACAATGCTTTAGTAATTGATATAATTGGAAAAATTGGGACCAAGAGTTTCCTTGTGATTGGGAGAATTTACAGACACTTTAGGACCTAAATGACTGTAGTAGCAGGTTGTTTGCCTACCAATAAGGGCTGACACATCAGGCCAAAACTGATTTTAAATGAGATAATGCAGGTGACATGGCTAAGCATTATAAAGTGCCACGCAAATATACAAGATTTGTGTTGTTGTTGGTACTATAATTTCACTCTTAACATTTGATAAAGCAAAGTTTATAAAGTCCAAGGTAATCACAAGACAAATTATGAAAAGATGTTTAGCAGTTTTAGCAACATAGAAATAATCACTTGTTATTACTTTTCTTTAATTGAGTCAATTTTATTTTAATTTGGGAGTTAAGTGAGTTACAAGTTTTCAAAGAGGCACACATTTTTGTTAGCTTTTCTGTAATAACCTACACAGAGTTTTGTGGATCTTTAAAAAACCTGAATTAAATTTTTTAAAATGACATGTCTATATTGTTACACATTGACTACAGAAGGGCACTGAATTACTGTATTATAATTACATGACTGATCATATTAATGTGTATCTCTGTAGTGCAATAATTTTTGCATTTATTCATTCATCAAGGATAACCAAGACTAATGCAATTATAGCTTCATTTTACTCATTATTCGTGGTCATCAACTTAGAGATAAGAATGGAATTACGTTGATAAGTTTATAAACTGATGGCTGGAGGCCAATCAGATTGCTTCATGCTCTTAAATTGTTTTATGATGATGTTACTTATGGTGAACATGTTGATTTGAAACAAAGATTTTGCTTAAAGAGCTGTAAGTCATTTTTCATTTTGGGTGTCATAGATACAGAAAAGGCACATAAAAACTATTTCATGAGTTTAATTAATACCATTATAGATATTGTAAATACTTGTAAACAGAGAGGAGTACTTTGTAATAAGAAGAAAATATTTCTGATGCTTTATGCAAAAAATGTCATAACTAAATTTAGCAAAGAACTTAAGTCATAATTGATAAACTAGAATATTAGAAAAAAAATTGAGGGGAACATTTATTTGTTTGGAGAACCAAACAAATGGAAACATTTGTTTATTTGGGGAACCAAAATAGTTGTAACTGGGTCAGATGACATACATACAGGTTTCCAAGAGAAATAAACTTATTCTGAATAAAAAGTTGCAAATGGTCAGCAGTATTAAAATAAAAGAAAAAAAGTAGTGAAATGATCCAAGCACAAGGTAAGGATTGGCATAGGAAAACTGTTTCTAAATCAGATATAAGTAATATGCAAAAGAATGGATCATTTTTAATTGAAAGCTAAAATTAATTGGAAGTTGAAATAATTTTAATTGAAAACTCACCATAGATCTGTATCGCTGCTTTTCTACATGTAGAATGTAGTCACAACCCACAATTCGTTCAACCTAGTAAATATTTATTGAGCACATATTTAATGTGCAAGACTGTGCTGGGCACCAAGGAGAGGTGAAGGTTAGCAAGATCTTGTCGAGGGGTTTGTAATCTGGGTAAGAGAAATATGCACATATTTTGAAAGCAAAGCACAAAGTGTCGAGTGCTGTGAGAACCGTACAAACGCAATGGTTTAGAAGATCGATGCAGGGAAAGAGTGTATCCAGTTGGAAAGATCAGGTAAAGCTTCATGAAGGAGCGAACATGTGAGAGGAATCAGGAAGAATAAAAAGAACTTTCACAAGCTGGGTAATAGAGGTAAATAAAAATAACGCACGTGATATTTATTTTACGGAAGGCACTGTCTTAAGCATTTTATATGTATTATGTCATTTAACCCTTAAAACCACCACAGGAACAGTACTCATCACCAATCTGCAAATGAGAAAAGTGAAGGTGTTAATTTGGCCCAGTTCTCATAGTAAGTGGTGAATTCAGAATTTAGACTCAGATCTGTCTGGTTCCGGAACTTAAACCTTAGTCATTATACTATACTGCCTCGTAAAGAGGAGTTGTTTGTGAAGGTGAAAACTGAGAAACCTACATCCTCCTAACATTTGTATTTTAGTAAAATTATGTTTTAAAAGTTGACATTGACTGGTAGGCATGTGATAAAAATTTA